AAACAGAAATCTACGTAAATATGATGATCGTACATTATCCGGTCTTTTACGTACTGATTTACTCGATGCAGCTGATGTAGAAATTGATATTGAGAAGTGTATTGAACCCGAAATAATTGAATGGCTTATAAATTACGATTATGACACTTCAGCACAATCGATAGGAATTTTTTTTACATTACTCACAGTACTTGCACATGTTGCTCATAATATCACGATATTACAATGGAATAAGATTCGAAAAAATTTAAACATTTATTCATTTATATTAGGAATCAGTGGTAGATCATTCTTTTCTTTTTTCAGTGTATAAATTAAAAACCAAAACAAAAATAATTTATAGGTGCTTGTAAATCAGGATTCGTCCGACCGGTACGAGCTGCTTATACTGCTATGATAGATTTTTTACGACAATATAATCTTGGTGATCCAAATTCATACAATAGTCTTGTCGACACATTTACTACAGCTGGTCTTTATGATCAAGTAACTTTTTTGTATTCTAAGTTGCTGTTTCAATAAACCTTATGCTGTTGTCATATATCTTTAATTTTTGCCACAATTGCTAAATCTAATATCTTATTGATATTAGGTTTTCCTTTTTCTAAAAAAAAATTAATCTAAAATCTATTTGCTTTTAGTTAGTGCAATCTACTGATGTACTGGTATTACAAGAAGAAATCGATACAACACTGAATAATATGGATTTTTATGTTAATAGTGGAAATGATGGTCGGCAACTTCTTTGCTCTTTGTGGGAAGGTTTAGATGATAATAAAAAAACTAAAATTTATCGACAAAATATACGCCGATCACATTTGACTCTTTGTGGAGCTTCAACTGGAAAATCATGCACTTCATTGATTCGTGAATGCTTGGATGATCTTCCTACTGATGGAGTGATAGATCGATGTTTAATACTTGTTGTACCATATTCGAGATTTACACGTGATTTATTACAACCAAGAGATCTTAGAAAACCAACAATCACACAAATATTATTGTGTGCATCGATTTTAGGAGAAAGAGGACTCATTTTTGATGACGATGCTTATAATACTATAAATGCTTATACAGATGATCTTACTCATCAAGCAGCTACTTTCTATCGCACAAGTCCACGATTTACATCCTATCTTGCCAAGCAACCACCTCAAGTTATTAAATTATGTGGTCTAATGACTATTATTCATACTATAACAACTGTTTTAAGACGCATAAATGTGTATGTTATAGATCAACTTGTATATTTAAATATAGGACACTAATTTTTATAGAAATCTATCTGAAGAGACAGATCATGGATTGAATTTACCATTCTATAATGAAGTACAAATGATTGTACGACAAAGAGTTCCCTATGTTATTACAGTAACACAAAATATTGTTGATCGAGTTATATATTTACATGGATTTTTGTACGAACAATCTGAACGTTTATTGCATCTTAATACACATCAAAATGAAAATATACCACAAATAAAATTGACTGGAGATCAACTTCAAAAACATCTAATGCGAGAAATTTTAATGATGCGCAACCTTATTATTATGACAAATGCAATCTTTTCTATTCCTGGCAAACATAATTATTTAGAAAAATCTATATTCAAGATTTTAGGAATAAGTCACGTTCATCGATTGCTTGTTAAAAGTGCACTTCAACAATTAGTTACTGAACATCTTCTATTAGCGGATTATTATGTATTAACAAGTACTAATCGTCCAATATTTTGTTACATAAAAGCAGTTTCAAAAATGAATGATCTTGTTGATCGAGAAATATTAGTTGAGAAACTTCAACAACATAAAATATCTCTTGACGAATACATGATATTGAATAATAGGTACACCTTACCAAAAGGTAGCCGACTTCACCAATCAGCACTAAAAATCCTTTCAATGCCATCTTATGTTGCCGTATGTGGTGGACCATATGATCAACAGTTAAATTTTGAAAGACCATCGGTTGTGCGAAATTCTCATCAAAATAATTTGTACTCGTCGAATATAACCACCACACAACAACATACACAACATCAACATTCACTCTGTTTATCTAATACACAACGTTTACAGCAAACATCAGTATTAAATAAACGAAACAAACGTTCTATTTCAGCTGCCTTCGTAGAATCAGATGATTCAATCAGTAACTCAGAAGATACAGATCGTATATCAAACCATAACATTGAACGAAACACAATAAGAAGTACATTTTCAATCACGTCAGTATCATCTGAAGAAATATGTACACCAATATCACGTACAACATATAATGAAGGTTGTTTTTCAACTATTTTATATGCAAATATATGCATATATTAATATACCTATCCACCATTATACTTAGGTCACAACATTACCAATGCGAATCAAGTACAAACAAATATAATTTCAACAAATACTTTATTATCATCGACATCTCAAAATCGTAAATTTTTCAAAAGCGGAGGTGAGCTGCAAAAACAAACTTTTGAAATTACATATATTTTTCGTTCTATTTGTACTAATACACAAGCATCTGTTTAGTGAGACGAACATTCTCCATATCAACCACTTTATCAAATATTTTGAACGATTCCGATGTAATATAAATATATAGAGTGATTCAATCGATTTCATTCGAACGTTTTTTAATTTTAAATTGTTTCAAGAAAAGAAAGTATTCTTTATTTATTTATGATTTCTTTTAATGTTCAAGTCTGATGATTTTACAATAATAAATATCATAACTATACATAAAAAAAAAATGCGAAAACCTCGGATTTAAATCCGAGTGTTATGTGTACTTCAAAAAGTGAAAAGGCATATTCACTGTGTTTTTTATCACTAAATTGCAAGGAGAAAATACAGGCGTGCTAAGTTAGCNTGATGAATTAAAACTTCGGAGTTACAGACAAAAATTATGAAATCAAATTGTGCGACATCTAATGTTGCATAGTTCTTGTACGCTCTGAAATGCGTGAGACTAATTTTATTGAAAAAAATAAAAACGCAGTTTGAATGAGAATTTTTTTAAAGTATTTCCATCGTATTTTTATCTTCTGATGCCTCATAAAAACTAGAAAGTGCATTTCGACATTGATTCGATGACTCATCTGGATGTGTACATAGACTATTTGTAAGATTAATTTTATAAAAAATATTTCGAATTTGAACTGAACGATCAAATTTTATATAATCATGGCGAGACAATTTTCGTTTAGATGTTGAATCAGTCATACAACCACGATTAAACTCAGCATCTTGTTCACAAATCTATATTCGATAAAACCTTTTGAATGGAAAAAAATTAAATAAATAAAATTTTCTTCTACATTTTTAAAATCTTCATTGGTTGTTTCTAAGGGCAAATGATAAAAGAATATTGATAATGATCGATGAAATGATTAAGTTGTATCAAGTACTTTATCAACTCCTGGTTCATGATCTTTTGAAGATAATTTAAATCCATTATTATTTTTTGATTGCACTAAAACAAGAATTTTACATTGTAACATAATAATTGAAAATTACTTACGAATTGATGATCCATAATTATTTTCGAATATTGTTCCATCATCACATTTACTATCTTTATGTTTTCTATGAAAAAATTGAGTAAAAAAAAAAAAGATATTGATATTTTACATAAATCTATATCTATTACTTGATAAGAATGTGATCTTTTTTGAATCATTTTCATCATGATCGTTGTTTTTTTTTTTTTTTTTTACCAATTGTTTGACTCTACTTGGATAATTGAAATTATGTGAAGACGTAGTAACATTAACAGTGTGAACATCATATCACTTCAACATTCTCTCTGGATTATACGCATTACAATTGGAAAAAAAAAAAAAAAAATAGAAAAAAAAAAAAAATATGCAGATTTTAATAAATAATGTTTAAAAATTCTAAACCTGATTGATTGAACTTACTATGTTGTTTCTCTTCATAATGATTCTGAATCAAGAGAATACCGATATATGTTAGAGCTGATTATCGTATTGAGTAGAAAAAGAATGTTAAGACGTAGTTTGCATAAAAATAAAGGATTCATATATTTCTATTGATAATTTGTGATCCAACACTGATATTTCAATTGTAGCGATTTTCTAAAATTTAACTTTCTCATGTTAATATGATTTAATTAAAAAAAAAACGAAAATACAAAATAGAAATCAAAACTAAATATTTCTCAGTTTATTAAAGGAACCAAAGACGTTCATGTTGAAAAATATTGCCATTGAAATTATGTGAGAAAAGAAAGATAAATTTTACTTCATACCTATTCTAATTTGACAATATTTTTTTTTACTGCTAAATCTTAGAAAAGGAAATTTCTTATTATGCAAATATCTTTAATAAGTCAAACTATTAAAATCTAAGGCATTGGAGTACGCTTCTTCGCATATTTAAGAGCTTGAATATTCTAAAATTTGAATGAAATTTTCTTATTTATTTTAAATTTAATATGGCGAAGGTGATAAATATTAATTTAAAATTCAGTGCATAATTTTCCATAGTTGCGCGAAAATCATTTTAATGTTCACAATACTAAAACAAAAAGATACATTATCATAAATTATACAAAATCGTGAACTGATTTATTCTACGATAGCTTGATTGTGAATTAACCAAAAGGATTCATTAAAGCATTATCAACTAGTTTGGTATAATTAAAATAATATTTTTCAACATAAAATATCTATCAGGGTAAAAAAATAGCGCTCTCACCAATAATACAATAATTAACATATAATAAATTGTTTTATAGCCGGTATCAAAATTCAATCTGTAAATCATTGAGAAATTCGACTTAAAATAATAATATTTGATTTAACAGTATCAACATCAAAATTGTACATTTCATAATAAATAATTATTTCCAAGTAAGAGAATTCGTGAGGTTTTGTTCATTTTATGTTAATAATTTATCATTTATTCATCTAGAAAGTAGCAAAAAAAATCTAAACTTATTCATTTTATTTTATTGATTTTGAGTATCTGCAGTAATGAGTTATACAATTTTAAATCGAAATGCACGTAAATATGATGATCGTACATTATCCGATCTGTTACGTACTGGCTTGCTTGATGCGGCTGACGTTGAAATCGATATTGAAAAATGTATTGAACCATTACTAAGTGAATGGCTCACGAACTATGATTACGATACATCAGCACAACCGATAGGCATTTTTTTTACATTGCTTACCGTACTAGCACACGTTACACACAACGTTACTATTTTACAGTGGAATAAAATACGAAAACATTTAAATCTTTATTCATTCATCTTAGGAATAAGCGGTAGATCATTTTTTTTTTTTTTTAACATCTCATTTGTTTCAAAAATCATTAATTCTTAGGCGCGTGTAAATCAGGATTTATACGACCGGTTCGAGCTGCTTATACAGCTCTGATAGATTTTCTACGACAATATCATCTTGGTGACCCAGATTCGTACAATAGCCTAGTCGATACATTTACTACTGCTGGTCTTTATGATCAAGTAACTATTTTATCTAACCTCCTTTATTAAAAAAAAAAAAAAAAAAAAAGATAATTCTTTTCTATCAAGATAATTTTCTTGTTTGTAATGGAATTTTTTTATCAATAACTTTTAGCTTGTTCAATCTACTAATGTCTTAGTATTACAAGAAGAAATTGATACAACATTGCACAATATGGGCTTTTATGTCACGAGTGGAAATGATGGCCGACAACTTCTATGTTCTTTATGGGAAGGTCTGGATGATAATAAAAAAACTAAAAGCTATCGACAAAATGTACGTCAATCACATTTAACACTATGTGGAGCTTCAACTGGAAAATCGTTTATACCATTAATTCGTGAATGTCTTGACAATCTTCCAACTGATGGTGTAATTGACCGATGTTTAATACTTGTCGTACCATATTCAAGATTTACACGTGATTTATTGAAGCCACGAGATCTTAGAAAACCAACAATTTCTCAAATATTATTGTGCGCATCACTTTTAGGACAAAGACAGCTTATTTTTGATGACGATGCTTATAATGCTATAAATACTTATACAGATGATCTTACACATCGAGCAGCTATTTCTTATCGTACTAGTCCACGATTTACATCTTATCTGGCTAAACAACCTCCACAAGTAATTAAATTATGTGGTTTAATGACAGTAGTACATGTTATCGTTAATATTTTGTCACGTTTAAATCTGTAAGTATGCTATTATTCTATATCTTCAAATAAGAAGAATATTATTCTTAGACATCTATTCGATGAATCAGATCATGGATTATCGTTAGCATTTTATAATGAAGTACAAATAATGATACAACAGCGAGTACCTTATGCTATAATAGTAACACGAAATATTGTTGATCGAGCTATATATCTACATGGATTTTTGTACGAACAATCTGAACGTTTACTTCATCTCAATACTCATCAAAGTAATAATGTACCACAAATAAAATTAACTGGAAGCCAACTTCAAAAACATCTTATGCGAGAAATTTTAATGATGCGCAATCTTATTGTTATGACAAACGCAATTTTTTCAATTCCTGGTAAAGAAAAAAATTACTCTCTTTATATCTATGTGTGTGACTTTTAGGAATAAGTCATGTTCATCGATCTCTTGTTAAAAATGCATTACAACAATTAGTAGCTGAACGTCTTCTCTTGGCTGATTATTTTGTATTAACAAGTACTAATCGTCCAATATTTTGCTACATTAAAACTGTACCAAAAGTAAATGATGTTGCTGATAGAGAAATGATGATTCAAAAACTTCAACAATATGATATAGCACTTGAAGAATTTGTTATATTAAACAGTACTTATACTTTAGCAAAAGGCAATCGACTTCATCAACAAGCACTTGAAATTTTATCAACACCATCCTATGTTGCTATCTGTGGTGGACCATATGAACAACAATTAGATTTGGCTGAATCATTACCCGTTCGAAATTTACAACGAAATGTTTCTTATTCATCTAACATGACAACAGAACCTCATGTACAACAACGTCAACCTGCTTCATTTTTATTCAACAGACAACATTCACAACGGATATCAACTACTAATAACCGACCAAAACGTTCGTTTTCACCTCACATTATTGAATCAAATGAATCTGTTCACAATTCTCAAACTACAAACGAGGTATCTCATCGTAACAGTCAAGAACACAGATTAGCACATACACGTTCAACTACACCAACATCGTCTCAAGAAACAATTGAACCAAGGTCGCCAACTATACATAATACGGGTATTATCTTTTGAATTTTCTTTCTTTATACATAAAATTATACATATTTAATAATTTTTAGCTGATGCTGTTATTAATCAAAATCGAGTACAAAACCACATAACTGCATCAGATAATTTACTATCATCAACATCTCATAATCGGAAATTTTTCAAAACTACCGGTAAGAAAAAATTCGATTCAAGACTTTATATGTTTGATTTTAATAAAATATATTTCGAAATTTTTAGTGCGAAGAACATTATCTATACCAAGTAATTTGTCGAATATTTCCAGCGATTCCAATGCACCTTAAATACATATACATTTAGATTGAATAACTTTAATTCGAAATCTTCTTTTTTTTTTGTTTCGAACCATATTCGAATAAAAGAATAAAAATAATTATCTGATATTTTTAGTGAAATTCAAGCCTAAAGACTTTTAATTAATAAAAATTGTAGCTAAATTCCTCCATAAACCTTAAGATTTTCATATTACAGACTTAAGTAGTTTACTCCTAAATCTTTAACAACCTCATTGATTGAAACAAGACGCTTTAACAACAAACCTATCAAGTAAAAGAGTAGCGCGCTTTTCGAATAAATTCTATCATTATCATATAAACTGGTCTTTCATAAACTCGAAAACTCACACATTCGTCCATTGGTGAAGATGTCTCAGAAAAGAAGTCGAACATATTACATGAGTAAATAAAAATTTCTCCTAAATGTTTCCAAATAATATATATACATATTTCATTAGTACCATCATCAGATTCAGAAACTTCAAATAATGAAGATGATCACACACGATCTCAAGAGACTGCAATCTCAACAAGTAGACGAATATGCTCATAAATTATTTACTTTATTTATTTATTTATTTATTCATTTATTTTTTTACTAAACAAAGCTCATTCATCTTATGATGCAACACGAAATACACGAAAAAATTCACGACTTGCTCTTGAAAATCAATTACGACAAGGTTTGACATGATCAATATGGTCATTTATTTTGCTTCATTTTCATTCTATAAAACATTTGAATAAAATGTCTAAACTAGTCTAAATAAATCCAGTTCTTTTAGAAACCAGTACTATTAATCTTACTCAAAATGATCATGACTATGATGCTCAAATGTCAAACATCAATAATCAGCAAACAACAAACATCACCAACGAAAACATTGCTTCTCACGATCAGGAATATAATAACACCGGTGAAAAACTTTTTTTTTTCAAAATGACGAACTTAATAAGGCATTTAATACACTTTTAATTTAGAATCTGTTGAAAATATACAAAATCTACCGATAAATGCATCAGACAATTCATCTACACCACAAATACAACGTAATTATAACCATTAAAACTTTTCTCACATAAAATTTTCTCGTCTAAACAAAAGGTTTAATTGATGAATATTTTCCTCATGAACCAAGTCCATATGAAGAAATCAATAATCTCAATGAAAATACAACAAAGTAAAACACTTTTCACCATCGCATTTCTTTAATTGTATTATAGTTTTCAAATACGATGTAAAACAATTCACAAATCTCCAATTCGATATTTTGGTACATCTAGTAAAGTATTTGACGCCATTGTTTGTGATTTTACTGGCGAAATAAAAGCAGTCGCATTCAATGAAGATGTTGATCGTCTCTATAACAGCATGACTGTGAATCAAGTAAAACAGAAAGAAAAAGAAAATATCGCTCATATCTTTAAATATTTCTTTCAGACAATCATAATACAAAGTGATAAAATTCAGAAAACAAATGAAAATTATCGTACACCTTATTCTGTATATGAAATTCGTTTAACATCAGCTAGTCTTATTGAACCATATGTAAATCATAATTTTAAACCAAACATGAGAATTACAAAACAGCAATTATTTGAAATACCACAAAAAATCCATGGATCATCTGTTGGTACGTTTTTAAGATTTTCAACAAATGTATTAAATTCATTCTACACGTCGACTATATCAGCTCTCTAAAAACATTCCCAGTATTGTAGTAATTTTCATATACATAACAATTGCTAATGATTCTGATTGTAGAAAACTCTAGGATAAATCTTTAATAGGAAAATAAAGAATAAAAATAGGAGAGAAAGAGAGTAACGACAAGAGATAAACAAAAAAAAATCTTGAAAATCTATACAAGAACTGGAACTATTTTAGATACGGAAGGAATTGTAATAATGGATAGAGGTATACTTACAACAGTATCTGAAACTACGGGAGCAAATTTACGACGACGAATCATCAAGATAAAAGATCAAACAAGTGCAATAAATGTAACAATATGGAACGACAAAGTAAATTCTCTTCAATTTTCATAAATAAAATATTAATAATCTTCAATTTTTTATTAAACATAGAACAATAATTTACCTGAAAACATGATGAATAAGACAATTCGAATTCGAAACGGAAAAATAAATCACTACAACGGTAGAAATTCTTATTTTCGCTATATGGATACACTCTCTAATTCTCTCTTAATAGATTATGTATCAATAAATGTATCCGAACAAACAATAATCGAACTTTATGAATAAATATATATCATTTATGTATAATTTAACTTTTATTTTGCATTTACGATTTTACATTTTAAATTATAATTTAAATAAAAAAAAAAACAATCTTTCAATTAACAGATACATTGTCGATGTCTTTTTTTATTTAAATGAGCGCTCTGATTTCTATGGATTTTTTTTCCATTATTTTATTCTACCAAAATAAAGCAACGAGATCATCATAATAAAATATACGACAATAAAAAAAAAAAAAAAAAAAGCTTTTTTTTCTAAATGTCGATCACTCCTACTTTACTAGAAATAACAGATGACATACGTCAACTTATAGCAACAATAAAAATATATTACAAGCTTAGTGATTTGCTAACTAGTATATTGGCATTCAACAATACAAAGACCTATATTGTTATTGCAGCGGAATATGAAAATCAAAAACGCTACTTTATAACTCTTTCCTTTCAAGACTTATCAAGATTATTGCATTTTCTTGAACCACCCAAACAAACATTTAATGAAGTTTTATGTCAGAATAATTTTTACAAACTTTATTTCGATGTCGACAATTACATTGAAAAATCGTTAAAGTTGAACATAGAAGAGTCTCTCTTCACCTTACAAAACTTATTTCACTATATTATCTTGAATCACACTAATCATGATGCTGCTCCTAATTCATCATTTACTGATCACTTTCTCGTTTTTTCAGCATCAACAGAACTCAAACATAGTTATCATTTAATTTATACGAATACAGCTATAAGATTTGAATCGCAAGCTACCGTATTACAATTCATAAACAAGATATTACACAATTCTTTACAATTTTTATTATCACATTCATGTCAACAACAAACTCAACAAACAAATAAAATAAATCTAGAAAACGACCTAAATCAATATCTTGTTCAATTACAAAATATTTTACAAAAAAATAAATCTCTGTAATTGTATTATACCTAAAACTAATATAACTTCTCAAGATTTTCTAAAACTTTTATATAAAAGTATTTTTTCACTCTCTAATATTCAATAAAATTCAAAATTTTCTAGATGTTGATGGATCATATCAATGGATTTTCGATTTACATGTCTATAATAAAAACCAACAATTCAGACTATATAAATCGACAAAATTTGGAAAAAAATAATCCTTTACTACCTATATCTGATTTTCCTTTAAATAATCAATTCGATAAAAATCATTCTATTATTAATAATAACATTAATTATGATTATATGCTCAATCATGCTCTAATTTCATACATCGAAAACAACACAGATTTTCCAATTTTTTGATGTAACCAAAACAGATGGTTTCTATCTAAACAAAATAAAACTCAGCCAATTGAGTTATTTACTACCAATCAATTAAAACCTGTAAATTTAATAAATAAATTCTCATTAACAGATCATAAACTAAATACGACAACAGCACAAAAAAATCCCATTGAAACAAATGAAAAAAAAAATAATCATTTCACAAACTTCGTATTACAATAAATAAAAAACAAATATAACACAAACGGACATATTCAATCATGTCAATAAGGAACTAAAAACCAAGCTATACTATTTTATAATATTGGTGGTTCATTTCGATTTTGTGAACGATTACAACGTCATCATAAATCAAATCAAACTTGTATCATTATTGATACTCTTACTCATAGATATCAAATTAAATGCAAAGATTTCAAACCCCCATGGAGAGACATTTCCTTTGCTGAAATGAAAACTTTTCATTGATAACATAAAATATTAAGAGAACTCATGAAACCTTGCGTCGATAAAAATTTAATTACATACAAATAAAATTTTAGGTTTTTTTTTTTTTTTTTTTTTTGCCTTGCTCGTATTTGTTAAGTATTAATAACATAATAAATAAATAAGTTTCAGCTATTATGATCTTTTTAAAATATGAATTCTCTAGTTAAAAAAATCGTTGTGAATCGAACTAATTCTAATACTGCAATTTACAAGATCAAAAGACTTGTTATATAAAGTGTAACACAAATATAATTTAATTGAATGTTACAATCTATAACTCTATAAGTACCATGACTATTTTTTTGTCATTCATTCTTTTCGTACATTCAAATTTCATTATAAAATTCATAAACGCAATTTTAATTGCAATTTCTTTAAATGAAAACAAGTAGATATTTTCCTTTTATATTTATTATTTAAATATAAATTTTTTTCATATAAATGTACAAAAAAATAAAGTCTTCACTTATATAGTTCAATAAAGCAGATTAATAAATGTTCAAAATAAATGAAATCGATCAGTTCATTATCATTCCTATTAAATGAAAAAAAAAATAAATAAATAAATAAACAGAGTTTGATAAAAAAAAATTGTATCTTTCTCACAGTTCATAATAGCAAATCTGTATTTTCTGTACCATTTGAAGCAAGATCACGAAATGTGAATATAAAAATTGATACAATTTTGCTTCTGTATATAATTTTAATTTAATAATCATTTCGACATGCAGGTTATTAAAATACGACATAAATATTTTTATACAAACTATAAATCGTATTCAATTTTTGTAAATATAAATATCACATAAATCGTCCATTTAAAATATTAATGTTAATCATTATGAATAGCAAAATTAAGACTTCATCTGTAACTCAAAAAAAAAAGAAGTTTGACGATAATCATCATCAATTATATTCTAGAAAAAAAATATCTTTAAAAAATTGATTTATAAAATAAATTCAATTTATTAATACAACTTATTATGTTCTTTTCAATCATCTTTGCATATTTCATTAGTTCAGATCAAACCAATTTTCTCATATTAACTTGACTTGACAAACTGTACAGATTCCGTTCCACTATTGGACATTCTAAACGTTCAATGAATCAAAAGCTAACGCCCTCTATAAATTACACTTTCAACAACACAGAAGACTAATCATCAATTAGCGCACTCTACAAATTACAGTAACTTCTTGCGATTCTAAAGCTTGCTATGTAAATCTCACGTCCTCTACAACTCAGAAAAGTTTTGCTTCGTTTTTTAAATCTGTATTACAGAAATCTAACGTCCTCTACAAATTACAAAAAGTTTTCCTAAATCTAAAGCTATTTATCTAAAAATCTAACGTCCTCTACAAATTACAAAATTTTTCCATAAAAAAATACAAGTTTTAATTAAACTCTTAGTCGCACAACTTTTACCTGTCCTACGATAAAAAAGCAATTGTTTAAAACTCACCTACCGACAATAAAATTAATTTTCAAAAACTTTGAGATATAAAGCAATTCTAAAAAAAGAAAATTTTAACTAAGTTTAATACTTAACGAAAATTTAAATCATTTAAAAGGAAAATTTCAACTAAGTTTGTAATACTTAACGAAAATTTAAACTATGTTCGCAAATGAGAAGTAGCCGTTTAAGTGCGTTTGTAAAAAGTTCGTATGTTCAGCAAAAGAACTCAAAAAGAACGCATTCAGATGCATGATAAATAAACGCATCATAACGCATAAAATTAAACATGTTCTAACAATGTTTTTGGGTGGTATTTTAAAATGAAAAAACGCGTTGCAAATAAACAAGGATGCATTTTAACGCGTCGTAAACGAAAACCGATGCGTTTAGACGCGTTTCAGAGAAAAAAAAAGATGCGTTTAAACGCAAAAATTGCATTTTTTCTCTTAAAGTTTGCGTTGCAACGCGTTTTTGTAGAATTTTTTTTTCATGGAATGGAATTGGGCGGCATCTTAGGGATATTATAGAATATTGAAGTCTAGAGCGTAAAGGCCCCTTGATATACTACTATTGCAGGAAAATCTGTTACTATAAATTAACAATTAATACAACATTTCTAATAACATTTTTCATAGCTTTCTCATTAAGAAGCTCTTGTTCCCAAACTTTGAAGATGCACATATAACTCTTTTTAATATGTATTTGAGAGTGTGGGTGTGGGTGAAGCAAAGACTCGAACACCCACACCCACACCCTTCACATTGGATAATTAATAATGCCAAGTAATAGTTAAGTTATCATCAATGACAATCAAAATTATCAATCGATTTTAATCTTGATTTTGTTGCAGGAAAATCCGATTAAAATCAGTGCATATTTTTCACCGGGTAGTCAANTTATGATGTACGATACTATTTATTGAAGGAACGAATGCGGTCTTGAAGTTCATGATTTAATATAGTAACTATATCAGCACTGTGTCATTAACAGAGAACAATATATAAAACTTTTATTTTATAATAAAATAGAATAAAGTTACTTTTGTAAGATTAAGTTTATAATAGATGTTTCGAATTTGGATTGAATTATCAAATAATATTCAAGCATGACGAGAAAATTTTCGTTCAGGTTCTGTATCACTTATACAAACACGGCGAAAACCAGCATATTGTTAATAAATCTAAATTAAATAAAAATTTTTAAATGGAAAAATAAAGATTTTATTTTACATTTTCAAGATGTGAACATAATTTAACTTCAATAGTATTTTTAATTCAGCTAAAATGAGAATTTTTATCATGTAAAATAATAATTAAGAATTACTTACGAATTCATGATGAATTGTTGTTTTCAAATATTGTTTCATCATTAGACTTACTATCTTCACATTTTGTCTAAAAAAAATGAATATAAAAGGAAATCAATATTTTAACTAAATTTATATTTATTACTTTATTACCAGATGATTTTTCGAATCATTTTCATCATTTTCGGTTTTTTCTACGGATTGTTTGACTCTGCTTGTATCGTTAATATACTTGATGATGCAGTAACATTAAGAGTATGAGGATCATGATCATTTTCACATTCCCTCTTGCTGATAATTATTGTAATTAAAAAAAAATTAGAATGTGTTCCTGTTAATATTAACTGGTCCTACTGTTTCTCTTTGTATTGATACTGAACCAATAGAATGGTGGTATATGATAGAATCCACTATCAGATTAAGTGGAAAATGAACATCAAGACATAGTGAGTATAATAATCAAGGATTCATATTCTTATTGCTAATTTGTGATTCAACAATAATATTGAAGTTGTAATTTTCTAAAACTTAACTTTCTCATATGTTGATATGATTTAATAAAAGAAAAAACGAACAATGTGATGAATCTAATCAATCTCATCAATCTTATATTAGAGCTTACTATAAAAAAAAATACGAAAAAAAATCAAAACTAAATATTGTGACTTTGCTAAAGGGACCAAAGATATTAAATATGAAAAATATTTATATTGAAATTATATGAGCAAAGAAAGACAATTTTTACTTCATAATTGTTTGCATATCACTATATTGTTTTTTCATTTAAATTCTAGAAAGGGGAATTTTTTATCCTACGGACATTTTCATTTAGTCAAACTTTCACAATCTTAATAATCGAACTATACTGGTCTGGATATTAAAAGAGTTTTAAATATTTTAAAAGATGGATGACGTTTTCTTATTTATTTTAAATCTGATATACCGATAATGACAAATATTAATTAAAAATTTCATTAAATAATTTTCTATAGTTGCGCGAAAATGATTTTATGGTTGACAATACTAAAAAAAGACATTATCATCAATTATTCAAAATCACCAAGTAAATTGTTCTACCATAACTCGATTACAAATAACAAAAAAAAACCATTAAAACATTATCAATTGCTTCAGTATCATTAGAATAATATTTGTGATCATACAATATTTATTAAGTGTAAGCAAATTAACAATTTCAGTAATAAAATGATAACTAATATATAACAATTAACATCATAATCATTGTAAATTTCATAATAAATAATCATTTAAAAGTAAGAGAATTCGTGAAGTCTAGTCCATTTTATATTTATGATTTATCATCTAGAAAGTAACAAAAAAAAATTAATATTTATCCATTTGACTTTATTTCTTTTGATTATCTGCAATAATGAGTTTTACAATTTTAAATCGAAATGCACGCAAATATGATGATCGTACATTATCCGATCTTTTACGTGCTGGCTTACTTGATGCAGCTGATGTTGAAATTGATATTGAAAAATGTATTGAACCTTTATTAAATGAATGGCTTATGAACTATGATTACGATACATTAGCACAACCGATAGGCATTTTCTTTACATTGCTCACTGTATTGGGACATGTTGCACATAATGTTACAATTTTACAGTGGAATAAAATTCGAAAACATTTAAATCTTTATTCATTCATATTAGGAATAAGCGGTAGATCATTTCTTTTTTTTTCCTGATATTATATTTAATTCAAAAACGATTAATTCTTAGGAGCATGCAAATCAGGATTCATACGACCAGTTCGATGTGCATATAGTGCTCTAATAGATTTCCTACGGCAATATAACCTTGGTGATCCAGATTCATACAGTAGTCTTGTCGATACATTTACTACTGCTGGTCTTTATGATCAAGTAACTATTCTACCTAAAGTTCTTTACTAGAATTTTTTCATCACTACCATATACCTTTAATATCTGTTATGACGAGAAAAAAAAATTCTTTTCCATCAAAATTATTTTCTTATTTTTAATGGAAAGCTTTTATTCATAACTTTAGCTAGTTCAATCTACTGATGTCTTAATATTACAAGAAGAAATTGATACAACATTGCACAATATGGGGTTTTATGTTACGACTGGAAACGATGGTCGACAACTTTTATGTTCTCTATGGGAGGGTCTAGATGATAATAAAAAAACTAAAAGCTATCGACAAAATGTAAGTCATTCGCATTTAACATTATGTGGAGCTTCAACTGGAAAATCGTTCATACCATTAATTCGTGAATGCCTTGACAATCTTCCGACTGATGGTGTAGTTGATCGATGTTTAATACTTGCCGTACCATATTCAAGATTTACACGTGATTTATTAAAACCACGAAATCTTCGAAAACCAACAATTAGTCAAATACTATTGTGTGCATCACTATTAGGACAAAGACAACTTACTTTTGACGATGATGCTTATAATACTATAAATGCTTATACAGATGATCTTACACATCGAGCAGCTATATTTTATCGTACTAGTCCACGATTTACATCATATCTTGCCAAACAACCTTTACAGGTCATTAAATTATGTGGCTTAATGACCATAGTGCATATTATTGTCAATATTTTGTCACGTTTTAATTTGTAAGCTCTGTATTGCTCTGTATATTCAAATAACATAAATATTATTCATAGACGTCTAACCGATGAATTGGATCATGGATTAACATTAGCATTTTATAATGAACTACAAACAATGTTACAACAACGAGTACCTTATGCTATAACAATAACACGAAATATTGTTGATCGAGCTATATATTTGCATGGATTTTTATATGAACAATCTGAACGTTTACTTCATCTCAATACTCATCAAAATAATAATGTACCACAATTAAAATTAACTGGAGATCAACTTCAAAAACATCTTATGCGAGAAATTTTAATGATGCGCAATCTTATCGTTATGACAAATACAATTTTTTCCATTCCCGGTAAAAAAAATTAATCATGTATATCTATATCTATGACTTTTAGGAATAAGTCATGTACATCGATCTCTTGTTCAAAATGCACTACAACAATTAGTAGCTGAACGTCTTCTGTTAGCTGATTATTTTGTATTAACAAATACTAATCGACCAATATTTTGCTACATTAAAAGAGTACCAAAAGTAAATGATGTTGCTGATCGACAAACAATGATTGAAAAACTTCAACAATATGATATAGCACTCGAAGAATTTGTTATATTAAACAACAATTATACTTTAACAAAAGGTAATCGACTTCATCAGCAAGCACATAAAATTTTATCAACACCATCGTATGTTGCAATCTGTGGTGGACCATATGAACCACAAACAAATTTCGATGAATCATTAAACGTTCGAAATTCTCAAAGAAATGTTTCTTATTCATCTAATACAATAACAACACAACATCGTATACAACAACGTCAACGTTCTTCACTTTTATTCAATAGACAACATTCACAACATATAAAAACTGATAATAACAGACGAAAACGTTCTTTTTCACCACACATTATTGAATCAAATGATTCTATTAATAATTTTGAAACTACAAATCAAATATCTCATCTCAACAGTCGACAAAATACATTAACAAATACATTTTCAGCAACATCAATATCATCTCAAGAAACAACTGAACCACTGTCACCAACTATACGTAATTCAGGTATTATCTATTGGATTTATTTTGGAATAGGTAAATTTACGCATATATAATCATTCTTAGGCAATACAGTGATTACTGAAAATCGAGTACAAAATCGCATAATTACAACAAATAATTTACTATCATCGACATCTCAAAATCGTAATTTTTTAAAAACTATAGGTAAAAGAAAAAAAATTCAATTACAAGTTTCTTTTATATATTTGATTTTAATAAAAATACTCGTCTAATTGTTTAGTTCGACGAACACTATCTATATCAAGTAATTTGTCGAATATTTCCAACGATTCTAATGCACCATAAATACATATACATTTAAACTTAATATCTTTAATTCGGATCTTTTTGTTTTGAACTATATTCTAATAAAAGAACTAAATAATTATCTGTTATTATTTATTAAATTCAAATCTAAAGGCTTTTCGTTAATAATGATTTAACTAAATCAAATCACAAAAAGTTTAAGTCTACGTATTACAGGCTGCAAAATTTTACTTTTAAATCTTTAATAAATTCATTGATTGAAACAAGACTCTTCAACAACTAGTCTAGAAATAATAATGTGTAGCGCGCTTTTCTTAAAAATTCGATCATTACTATCCAGTGCAGTCTTCTCTACATTATCAATAAGTCACACATTCGTCAATTGATAAAATAATGTCTCAAAAAAGATATCGAACATATTATACAAGTAAATAATAATTACTCCTTAATACTTCCTAACAAAAAAAAATATATTTCATTAGTGTTGTCATCAGATTCCGAAACTTCGACTCATGAAGATGAACATACAGAATCTCAAGATATTGCAATTCCAACAAGTAGACAGATTTTCTCATATAATATTTGCATTATTTCTTTAATAAACAAAGTTCATTCATCTCATGATACAACACAAAATGCACGAAAGCATTCACGACTTTCTATTGATAATCAATTACGACAAGGTTAGACTTGATGAATATTATAATTAAATTCCTTTCATTCTCATTCAATTAAATATTTGAATAAAAATGTGTAAACGAATTTAAATAAATCAATTTCTTTTAGAAACGAGCAACAGTAGTTTTTCTCATATTGATCATGACAATAATCATGAAATATCATACATCAATAATCAGCAAACAACAAACATCATAAACGAAAACATTGATTCTCCTAACCCTGAAAATGATATTGGTGAAAAAGATTTTATAGAAAAGTAAACATATTAAATCATTCAATATATTTGATAATTTAGAATCTGTTGGAAATACATCAAATCTATCAACAAATTCAGCAAGCAATTTACCTACACCACAAATGCAACGTAATTATAGTTATTAAATATTTTGTCAAATTACATTTTTCCTCTTGATTAAAGGTTTGATTAATCAATATTTTCCTTATGAAACAAATCCATTTGAAGAAATTAATAAGCTTAATGAGAATACAATGAAGTAACATATCTTTTATCGTTACCTTTCTTTAAATATCTTATAGCTTTCAAATACGATGTAAAATAATTCATAAGTCTCCAATTCGATATTTCGGTACATCTAGTAAAGTATTTGATGCAATTGTTTGCAATTTTATTGGCGAAATAAAAGTAGTAGCATTTAATGATGATGTTGATCGTCTCTATAATAGCATCATTGTCAATCATGTAACTAAAAAAAAAAAGAAAAAAATATATTGCTTATATCTTCAAACATTTCTTTCAGACAATTACGATACAAAATGGAAAAATTCAGAAAGCAAATGAAAATTATCGAACACCTTATTCTATTTATGAAATTCGTTTAACATCAGTCAGTCTAATTGAACCATATGTAAATCATAATTTTAAACCGAACATGAGAATTACAAAACAACAATTAATTCAAATTCCACAAAAAATTCATGGATCATCTGTCGGTACGTTTCTATGACATGTAATAAATGTACCAAATTCAAGATGCATATCGACAGTATTAGTTCTTAAAAGAATCACAGCAGTCTAATACTTGTACTCTATTGTTCGAATAATCAACTTATTACATGAAATAACACATTTTATAGCCTATTACAAAATTTGACAATTACTCATCTCTAAAATATTTCTTGAATGAAATAATAACAAAAAAAAAA